TTCCCGTGGTCTCAGGACACAAGGGACCGACCACGAACTTCCTGACCCAGTCTGCCTCTGGCCATGTCTCCCCCTCACTCACCACACTGCGGAGACATGCCTTCTTCCCATTGCTAGCAGTGTGAGCACTTCTGGCCTTCTGTGCTTGAAACACTGATCATGGGACCTAACATGGCACCTTCTTATGGAGGGGCTGCCTGAGCATGGGACCTAACATGGCACCTTCTAATGGAGGGGCTGCCTGAGCCTCATCAACTACATTTTTCTACCAACACGTAGCACTACCTGGGATGATCTGCTTTATGATTCGCCTGTGTTGTCTGTCTCTCACTAAAAGGCACACCCTGCACAGTGCCTGAGAATGTTAGTTACTCAGTCAATAAATACTTGTCAGTTAGATAAACAGATTGGAGGTGGCCTGGGTCAGACCAGAGCACTCAGCTTTCCTCAGTCTCACCCTGAGCCTTCAAATGGAGTTCCTCCTGCTTAAGCATGCATGCTGTAGCCTCTCAGATTCTAAAGGAGTCCCGGCTGCCTTTAGACACAGGCCTCAGGTTTTTTTCCTGAGGGAAGGAAAAACCAGAGACACCCAGCCTGGCACCCATACAGTGCTCCTGTTGAATATAGGTATTTCCAGAGAATGTCAACAGCAGATGAGGCCACTCCGATCACAACAGAGCAGAAACAAAACAATCAAAACAAAACAAAACAAGATTACCCCATAATCATGCCTAAACCCAGACAAAAATAAGAATACTGTCCAAACCACAAAAATGACCAACCATGCCTGTTTTCTGGTCAATATGGGTGACTTCTACTTCTTCACTAATTGCTGCTTTAGCCTGACCTCATGCCTCCTACCATCCAGCTAAAAATTATTAAAGATACACAAACATACAATTATCCTTAGTTCTGATAATCCCCAGTCTACAATATTCCACTTCCTAAAACCCTTCCTATCACCCAGATACGAATTCAAAGTGAGTTGATGAGTTCTCTTCCCCACACCCCCACCAGGTGCTAGGTTCAAACCCAAAGTCTTGTGTCTGCAAGAATGGCAAGCACTTTGCCACCTAGCTGCATCCCAGCCTCTATGATTTCTTGTCATATTCTCTCACTTAGATGCCCCACAGATCCACACAGCAACTAGTCAGTCAACTCAACATTGGTCTTTCCTTGTGTCTTAAGCAAAATGCATGAGAGGCAAGCTCAGTGTTTTCACCATCTTGAGGTGAAGAAATTCTACTTGCGCCAAGTGGTCGGTTAGAAAAGGTTAGAAAATCTTGCATCACAATGCCAGTGAATCAATAACACTGGGTGCCTCCTGGGTGTCTAGCACTAACTTGCACAAACGGGCTCAGCGAGGTTCCTGGTGAGTTATTTCCTGGCAGGCACAGAGCCTGACAGGTCCCAGCTAGAGCAGTTGTGACCTCTGGGATGTCTCCACCTAAGGCATAGGCACACCAAATTGCTAATTTAGCCAAGCCAGTGTCCTCAGAGCAGCCTCAGGGGTCAGGGGAGAGAGCTCAGATAGTAGTAAAGTGCTTGCCCACACAGGTATAGGCCTGAGTTTGACCTCCAGTACCTAAGTAAAAGCTGGGCATGGAGACATGTACCTGTACTCCAAGCATTGGGAGGTAGAGACTTCTGGGTTTTCTGACCAGCCAGTTTAGACTAATCAGTGAGCTCCAGGCCAATGAGAGACCCCACCTCAAAAAACAAGGTGGAGAAGATTTGACTAAGATACCCGATGTTGACCTCACATGCATGCACACACATATCCACGTGAACACACACACAAGCAGCTTCAAAAGCCCCTCCCACTTCCTTCTCTACTCTTTCATCAGCTCCATTTTCCATGCTTCTTATACTCTCCCCACCCCTTAGCCCTCCTTCCTGCATGACCTATTCCTCCTGTTGATCTACTCCCCTTCCCACTATTCCCTCAACCCCTCACCCCAGTCTGCACTCTGCCACAGGTCTGTGCATCAGGGCCAGCTGCACTCTGGCCTCTGGGCCTCTTTCCTCTTTCAAACCCCTGCTTGATTATTAACTCAGATGCCCCCAATGTTTTCTTGGTTGAACCCAGTTGTCTACCCAAGCTTGGAGCAGCTGCTCTCAGCATTTATCAGGGGAGCTCAGGTTTCAGTAGCTGGGCAGCTGACTTGCAGTGTTTGGGAGTATGCTTAATTGTGGTGGGAGTATGGCTCATAGCCTTCATCTCTCCAGCTAGAGCCTAAGGTCCGCAGGGCATAGGCCACATCTGCAGGGTTTGGTTTGAGTACTTCCTCCTTAGAACCTGGCACTAGAGTCCAGAAGAGTGACTGCCCAGCACTGCATAGGTTACCATGCTGCATGAGAAGGTCAATCAAGATATTGTGCCTGCTGGGCATGGTGGTGGCACACACGCCTTTAATCCTAATACTCAGGAGGCAGAGGCAGGTGGATCTCTGAGAGTTTGAGTCCAGCGTGGTCTACATAGTGAGTTTCAGGCCAACCAGTGCTGTATAGTGAGACCTTGTTTCAAGAAAGAAAGAATGAATGAAAAAAAGAAAGAAAGAGAGAGAGAGAGGAAGGGAGGGAGGGCAGGAGGAAGGAAGGAAGGAAGGAAGGAAGGAAGGAAGGAAGGAAGGAAGGAAGGAAGACTGTGCCTCAGGTGATCTGTCCGTTGTGCCCTCCCCCAGGGCGGCAACAGGGTAGCCCTCACGAATGTGTCTGGAGCGTGGTCTCCTGGAAGCACATCAACTTTTCTACACTCTGAAGTTTGTGCTGACTTTAAGCCTCGTGGCTTTCTACCCACAAAACACTGATTCTAGAATGTTTTTTCTTTCTACAGCTGATGTCTTCTAGTCCTCCGACAACTTCAGCACCATATCATTCTCAGGGGTGTGAGTTAATCTCTAAAGCCCTGCTCATCAAACACTATAAGTCTTCACAGAGCAAAGTCAAACAAACTTTCTTTCAAAAGGAGGAGCATTGGAATAAGCAATGTGCTTATTCATGGAACCAGAATTCATGTGGTTTGAGGAAATGTCCAAAACGGGAACTTGAGTGAGAAAAGCAAGGGTCAGAGAACAGTAAGTCTGCATACCACACAGTTACTGCGCTTGCTAGGATTCAGAAGTGTAGAAAGGATATTTACCACACTTTTGTGGAGTAGGAGTGGAGACTCTTTCCAAAACTTAATCTTACAAAATGGCTTCAATTATTTACAAAGTTTCTTATTTTTACAACCAGTTAACAATTTTTTTTGTAAAAGAACCTGAGATCCCAACTCTTCCCTCCTATTTAAAAATGCTTTTACTGGGGGCTGGAGAATGCCTCAGCAGTTAAGAACACTGGTTGTTCTTGCAGAAGACCCATGTTTGAATCCCAGCACCCACATGGCAGCTAACAACTGTCAGTAACTCCAGTTCCAGGGGATCCAACAGCCTCTTCTGGCCTCTGCGGGCATTGCACGACACAGGTGCACTTACTCACATGCAGGCAATACATGTATACATATAAAATAAAATAATAAATAAAATATTTTTTAAAATGCTTTTACTGTTGCCTATAAAATATGCAACTTTGTTTCACCATCTAACTATACTATTTAGTAAAAATGCAGCTTAACGTATAGCCTACCTGTCTGAACTGTTGTTTATAGCTTATTCTTTTCTTTTACTATCTGAGAGCACATTAGGTTTCTCCCAAGCTTCTCAAATCCTTCAGAGACAGTCCCTGAAGAATGGCTGAGGGACAGTGTTACAGGGTGCTCCCCAGCACCAGGCTTTATGCTTGATGCCAGGGCCAAGCAGACAGAAGGGGCATTCTGATTCTAGGCAAACACTTTAGGGTGGTCAGTTGCTCTAGAGCCACTGGCTTACCCCAACTACCCAAGGCAGTGAAAACACTTATGGGTTCACTTATTACCTGAGCTTAGCTCCCATACCACTGCTTAGAGTAGCCTTGGACTTATGCCAGTTAGGGGTTGGGTCAGAAACTATTCACAATAGCCAGCAGTAAGAGTGGCTTGGATAAGATAATTTATCTTTCTTTCATTTGAACAAATAAATCCAGAGGTGGGCAGTCTGGGGTTATTGAGCACTCTCTGTTCTGTATTCCCAACTTCTAGCTGGTAACTTTCCTTTTCAAGGTTACAAGTTGGTGCCAGAAATTCAGCTATTCTGACAGGCAGGAAGCGGGAAGAGGAAGAAAAGAGTAAGGAAAACCCCAGGTAAGCAGCGTAAAACCTTCTTAAGCTTGTTGGAAGTTTAGCCTAGTGATTTCTGCTTCCATCTTCTGAGCTGCCTGCAAGAAAGTAAAGGAAACAGACTCTTGTAGCTGGCCATCTCTCTCTGCCATGTCAACTCAGGCTTACCCTAATTAGAAGATGGCTTTTAGATATCAGGTAGGCAACTAGCTGTCCCTTTCCTGGGATAACAATACTGCCACCTTATCAAGTACTTGGGAATTAAATAAAATACTATTTGTAAATCCTCAAATGTATCTTCGCTGGATTGAAGCCTTCCTGAGGAAAAGTTAATCTTTTTTTCTTCTAGTAGTATGGATTACACACCTGAATCCTAACAACTATCTGGAGTGGGTTTCCACTCTGTGTTTCCTTTTGTGATACTGAGGGTCAGATCTAGCACCTCATGAATGTTAGGCAGACACTCTACCACCAAACCACAACTTCAGCCTCTGGCTGGAATTCACTGGAATTTTACACGTTACATGTCTGGCAGTTGGCTGCCTCATTCACCTCTCTCTTGTGTGTGTGTGTGTGTGTGTGTGTGTGTGTGTGTGTGTGTGTGTGTACATGTATATGCATGTATATGTGGACGTCAAAAGACAACCTGGGGTGCTAGTCCTTGGGCACCTTCAACCTTTTGTTTGAGACAGGGTTTCTTATTAGCTTGAAACTTTACCACATAAGGCATGCTAGCCAGCCAAGAAGCTCCAGGGATCAACCTACCTTCATCTCCCATTTCACCATGGCCAGGATTACAGGCACACACCACCGTGACTGGCTTCTAATGTGGATTCCAGGCATCTGAACTCAGGCTCGCGCACTTGCAAGGCCATCTCTCTAGCCCCACACTCACCTTTCTATCTGGAATACCAGCACAAAGTAAGTACTCAATAAATTCTGGCTGAAAAAATACACTTTTCTTTCCTTCTTTACTTCCTGAACCAATTTTAGTCCAAATCCAAATACCTGTTTTGAAGCCTTACGACTTCATTTTTGAAAACTCACCTTCCAGCCCTTGGAGCATTAGTTCGTCGTTGGGAAGTGGGGTAACACTAGTGAGCATGCATATGTGAAATAAAGGGTAACAGACTGCATTCAGCAGGCGCCTCACATGGATCCACCCTTTGCAGAAACAGGCATCCATGCCTTATCCTCTTCTTTTTGTTTTTGTCTGTATGTGTATGTGATATATACAAGTATAGGTGTTTGTGTATATGCATGTGTCTCTACCTCCACCCCACCCAGTGCCAGGGTTATAGGTGCACGTCACCATACCTGGCTTTTTATATGAGTAGTAAGGGCCTGAACTCAGAGTCTCATGTTTGCACGGCAAGCACTTTACCAACAGAACCAGCTTCTAATCTTCTTGTTTGATTTCCCTTCCTACTTCTATAGAGCTGAGCTTTAGCCTAGGCCATTTGAAAGCAGCCAGCACTTACTGAACACTTATCATGTGCCTTGCTGCCATTCCTTTTAGCCTTCACAACAACACCATGCCACTGTTGTCATCACTCTGGTTCGGTAGTGGGGATACCAAGGTCTGAGAATCACCCAGTTAGACGACAGAGGCAGAACTGCGGTAATCTGGCCAGAGGCTCACACTTCTAGCAGCATGCTGCTTTTGGTATTGGACTCGGTGACCATTAGCCTCAGCATACTCACCATCATTTCTCCCACTGTTTACTCATGGCAATTTCTTACATCTCCCTGGGGATAGGCCAGGAATGATTCTGGTCAGCCTCCTCATGGCAATGGTTGTCTGAGCTTAACCTCCTACTCAGCTATTCATACTTCATAGGGAGATGAGGAAAAGTTCAGTTTCAAAGCTCAGGAACATCTGTGACCTTGGGCCAGTTATCTTTATGAGACACCCCTTCCCCATGTTTCATGAGAATCCAGCCTGTGCAAAATTCAAATTTATAACAAAGATTACTCTGTGTGAGTGGGAGGATGATGTGTATTACATCATGAAATTCACTTTACAAAGTGAGTCATGCCAGGCTGCTTTAATGTAGCTGTCTTGTGCACTTACAGTGATTTAATTTTCTTAAAGTTCCATTTACATGAAACGTTACAAGGATTCATTTATTAAGCCAAGTGCAGATACACCCATATAATTCCATGATCTTCACGTTGCAAAGAAACTACAGACTTGCCTGAGCTGACCCTTTCCTTTGAATTTTCTCTTCCAAACTTTCCTCTTGAGAGAATTTTTTAACCCTATATAGAAAGAATACCAAAGAAAATCAAATCATCCAATGATCACAATAGAAACAAGTTAATTTTAGTTTTACTGGAAGTTTCCATCAATCATTAGCACCCTTTTCTCAATGCTGGAAAAGTACAAAGGTTTTTTGTTTTGTTTTGTTTTGTTTGTTTTGTTTTGTCCCTAGTATTTAAAGACTTACAGAGCTCTGAGAATCCACTGTCAAGGCATTGGTCACCTGCCAAGGCAGAATTCTAATGATATCATGGAACTCAGAGGCCACTGAAGGAAGACGCAGCTCTGGAGTTGGCTGCCCATGGCTGGCCTTGGCAGTTCCTGGGCAAGATGTCCCAGTGGTGAGGATTAATGAGGTGCTTCTAACCAGTCTGCCAGGGACTGGGCATAAAATCCTTGGCAAAAAAAAAGAAAGAAAGAAAGAAAGAAAGAAAGAAAGAAAGAGAGAGAGAGAGAGAGAGAGAGAAAGAAAGAAAGAAAGAAAGAAAGAAAGAAAGAAAGAAAGAAAGAAAGAAAGAAAAAAGGCAGAAAGCAGAGAAGGTAGGGACGGATCAGGGCTGAGAGTCCATAAAACCTTGGAGAGAGAAAAGCAAAATATATACTCTCATGCTATTTTGCAGAAATTTAAAACCATGCATGAACCTCCAGGGACTAAAGTTACTCAAACAACATCAGCCTAGACTGAAAAAGAACCAAGGATACAGGCATTTGAACATAATTAGGAGTGGCCTAGAGGAAACTGGAGCCTACTGTAAGTTTACATTGCAGGAAAACTTGGCCTGGCAAGTCCTGTCCTGACTCACCCTCATGGGCCAGAGCTCATGGTCATTGCTGGGAAATGCTGACATTTCCTTCTCAAGTGATAGAATGCAGAGATGGGATCCAAGACTGCCCAGAAATTCTCCACAAGCACTTCTGTACAGTCTTTCACCTACCTTCACCTGTCAGCAAGACCTGGCTGGAGCAGGGGCCAGACAGGTATATACGGTACAAGAGGCTCTGAATCTTAGGGTGGGGCAAACACAGAACTGGCATCTGAGAGTGCCCTGTATACTTGCCTGGCCTCACTTTCATTCCTGTCTTGCCTCCCTCCTCCCTATTCAGACCCTCATTCAAAGTCCATTGGTTAGGGATGTGGTGTGGGCATTTTTCAAAGCTCCTCGTCTGATTGTATAATGTGAGTAAGTGTTGGTAAAGGAATTAAACCAAAAGCTAGCAACCGACCTTGACTATCTTTTGCTACTGTGTTAATTGGGGGAAAATGTCTTATGCAGCTCATTGTGTTTCAGGCTATTCACGATGTTATAAATCACAAAGGGTCCTTTCCAGATAAAGTACAGAACAGCTAAATGAATTGGAATATCAGAAAAGGAACAGCAATTTTTAGAACTATCTGAAGCTCAAATTTAACTGAGCTTCCTGTGTTTTTGTTTGAAAAATCTGGTCAACATAGGTCCACATGGCATGTCAGAGCATGTCTTCATTGTACACAGCAGCAATTCCAGCTCTACATCATAAGACACAAGTTACAGTAGATAGAGTGTGCATTACACTAAGAAAAAAACACTCCATAAAATTAGTTTGGCAAACACTGGGTAAAACTAAGTTAGCCAGGATTTTGACCACAAAACTTTTGGGGGTCTTTAATACACCAATGTACAGTGGTGTCTATTAGAGACTTGGAGAGCCCTCAGACACTCATACCTGGGAGACACTGCACAGAGCTGAGATTCCAGTGAGATTACTGTGGGACACACTACTGGGAGAGGAGGGTGCTATAGAAGGGCTTTAAACTGGCAAGTGACAAAGTCAGATGACACAGATAATGCCAGTTTAACAAGTACCAACTTAAGAAGGACAAGACTGGAGAGACTGGGAAGATGGCTTAGTGGGTAATGAAGACTTGAGTTTGAACCCTCACACTCACATAAAATTGAGCATGGCAATCCCAGTGCTCTTATGACAAGATGCAGAGTAGAGAGAGGAGGATCCCTGGAAGATGGCAGACCAGCTAGCCTGGCATACATATATTGGGGCAAACCAAAAAGACCCTGTCTCAAACAAGTTAGAAGGTGAGGACTGACACCTGAAGTTGTCTTCTAACTTCCACATGCATGCCACTGCACAGGCATGCCTACACTCACATACATGAACGCACACACACACATTCACACACAAAAGGACAAGGCTGGAAAGCAGGGAGCCCAGACTGGAGGCTGGACTCTTTCACTAGGACTGCCATAGCCAAGAGTCATACAATAGTTTATACAATAGTTCATCTTCCCTTCCTTCTCTCCCTCCCTCTGTCCCTCCCTCCCTTCCACTCTTCCTTCCTTCCTCCTTTCTTCCTTCCTTCCTTCCTTCCTTCCTTCCTTCCTTCCTTCCTTCCTTCCTTCCTTCCTTTCTTTCTTTCTTTCTTTCTTTCTTTCTTTCTTTCTTTCTTTCTTTCTTTCTTTCTTTCTTTCTTTCTTTCTTCTTTCT